CAAGTGCTCTTGATCGCACTCAGCGTTTTTGTTTAGATATGGTTGCGCTCAAACTGGAGAAGACACAACTCAAAAATTTTGCGATTTGGCGCAGCACGGAGTAATCTAGAAAATGACTATGGATCAATTAAGCCGTGAAATCTTACCTCAAGCGAGATTTCCGCAGGATTTTCATAAAGCGGTGGGCTTATCGAGGTCGAAGAAATTGTTGAATCGTCAAACTTCGACTTGAAGTCGCCGAACATCTCCGACAACAACGGATCTCCACTTTGTCGACCCCCAAACGCTTGACAAAACTGCATGTTCTCGCTCATCAGTCCCGAAAGGGTCTGTAAACAAAATATGTTTCCGCTAATCTCAACTGCGTATGTGAGACAATTTGCAGCCCTGCTGTACTCATATGATCAGATTGGCACAAAGTATGTGTAAACAAATATTTTGAGTGATGACGAGGAATGTGTGCCATGTAGTAAAAATGCAAGTTCTGAAGTGCTCACGGTAATGGTAGGTAGAAGAAGAAGTAGATTGCCGAAACGACTGCTTGCTGTGTAGATCGGATGTAGTTCTTTCACTATTTGGAATAACATATCTTGCACTTTGTCGCGAAGTTCGCCGATGGCAACCTTGGCTCGGTCAGACAGTCCTTTCGCATCTAAGTGATTTTCAATTTTTTCGGAATTTTATCCATGAATTGCTCGTCTACTTCCAAGTCACACATTCTCTCTTATATCCGCTTAGCTATGCCAGAAAATATTTTAGGGATTTCACAAGAATAAAGATCTGTTCAACTGTCTAGCCACTTTCAGCTCCTTTTAGTTTCACCTACTCATTTGTTCCTCAAAACTTACTCGGATTTAGGATAATGATTGCCTTCAGCGGCACGATCTCTTCCTCTTTGAGGTTCAGCTTTCGCAAAGGTGCCACAAGCTCATTTAAAGTCCGGTCGATGAGCACATTTGAGAGATGACTAAAACAAGTAGTTGGAGTTCCTTTCAAAAAGTAAAATCAACGAAAACTGCGCTTTATGCGAGACAATGAAATTCTTATCAAACGGTGAAAAATTTACATAAAAAATGCCAGGAAATAGATGGAGAAAATAAAATAAGTAAGTCTAGCACGTCCGAAAGTAAAGTAATGGAATTATTAATGATTTTTTGGTTATAAATTTTAAAGGAACAATCCTCTAGATGTTGTGTTTGGCAAAACTTGCAATTTTTGGAGAATTTACTGAAGAATGTTTTCGGAAACTTTCTAAAACTAGTCCTATTTTCTTCGAAAAATCTTGTCTAATCCTTAGAGTTGTTTCTCACTGGGTGCAAAATTTGAAGAAAAATGTATAGTTCTTTGTAACATTTGGTGCGATATATTATGAACGCCTTCTGCAATTTATGATTTGAAAATTTGAAGTTCCAAGGGTCTAAAATTCGATATTTCAAATGTATATTGCTTATGACCCTTTCTATGCCCTTTGAGATAATGGAAGCTGGAAGGGCTTTAGATCACGTGTTTCTTACGACAACTTGTGTTTGCCATAATCGCCCTTATCTAACCGACCTAATATCTGTCGGAAGTGTGGGTTTCGACAAACACAAAACTGACTCTTGACCAGGTGACTAGCTTACTTGGTCTCGTTGAATTCCGGCGGTAGACGTCGTGGAACATAGGAATGACTACACAAGCAGAGAATGTCGGGATTGGGAGTGTTCTGAGCTGTCCGTGCTGAGAAGTTGAAAATGGTCAGCGGAGAGTAACAGGATTTCACGAGAGCTACCTAAAAAAATCGTTACCGTTGTTAAATTGAATATAAACTTTGCAATACTTGCATGTAATGAGCTCAAAACTGTTATAAACGCTTTAAATATGCTTTTGAAAAAGCATATTCAAAGGGAACTGGGACTGGGGTAGCACTGGGATTACCAAGAACTTCAACCTCTGTTACTTTCCTTACCTTGTCTTCGGTCTCCGCCACCTCTGCGATTTCCGTCAGGCTATCTACCCAGTCCACAGCAGCGATTGCCCTCCGGTGAGCGATTTCCGAAAGTTCCTCTGTCCGAGCCATTCGAAA